GGTTTTATTTTATAGTATAAGTTTTTAAAACCAGGAACTGAGAATTCTTTGTCTTTTTTTTTGTTTGTTTTAAAGATGACCGGTAAGGGGATCTTAACCCTTGACTTGGTGTTGTCAGCACCACGCCCAGCCAGTGAGCGAACCGACCATCCCTATATGGGATCCGAACCCGGGGCCTTGGTGTTATCAGCACCGCACTCTCCCGAGTGAGCCACTGGGCCGGCCCTTATTGATTTCTTATAAAGGAAAAACTCTAAGCATGGCCCCCTCAGTCATTGGCTGTCCTGCACTGACTCGGCTCAGGGAAGAATCAGAGTGGCGTGGAGGCACAGCTCAACTAGCTGTGTGGTCATGGGCAACTCTCTCGGCTTCTCAGAGCCTCAGAGGCCTCATCTGTAAGAAAGGACATTTATAAGCAGCCACGAGAAAGTAAAGAACATGCCTGGCTCCTTCTTAAGCAGTTGTTATTGGCATCTTGTAATAGCCTTTAACTGCTCGGAGGAGAAAATGTTAGTGTGGGAAAAATGACCAAGTCCCAACTTCCTAAAAAAGGTGGTTTAAAGTGAAGGCACACAATATGTCAGGATGGAACTATTACACTTGCTACTGAAATAACTAGAAGTGGGGAGAGGGGGTCGAAGCGGGGGACGGGATTAACCTGCTGCAATTTTAGTGATGACAGCTCCTTTAACTTTTTATTATAGAAAATTTAAAACATATACAAAAGTAGAAAAGTATAACAAACCCTTATGAAGCCACTGCCAGCTTCAAAAGCTGTCAATGCATGGCTGATCCTGTTTCACCTGTACCCCTATCTTTTCTCTCCCAAACTTGATTATAATGAAGCAAACCCCAGACATCAATATATATGGGGATGGTGCATCTTGACTAAGCTTCTTAAGGAACGTGAGCTCCTGATGTGAGTCGTTGGCCTTGTTCCTGATCCTGACACCGTGTCTGGCTTAAGAGATGCCTTGTAGCCTGTGATGAGGAATAGGTGAAGGTGTCCCTTTGGTGGTGGTCAGTGGGGAGGGGAGCCTGTGTTTTTGAAAAGTGGATCTTTCTCTCACAGAGTGTAAAGTCAGCCCCCTTTATTAACTGAGATGGCTAAAAGTCATTTCCAAAGCCAGATCAAGTGTTTGTAGCTTCTCATCTTGAAAGTCTGTTCCTATTATCAAAAGATGCTTTCTAGGCAGCTTCAGTTCATTTGCTGGTCTTTATCTTTTTCAGACCATTGAGCCAAAAGTGAAAGTTTTCATCTTCAGCCTAACACTCCAGGACTGCCCTCCCTCCAGGGAGAGCCCAGCCAGGCTGCTCTTCAGCCTTCTCCAAGGTGAGTGGACCAACACAGGAGAGGTGCGGAGTGACATTAGGCCCATTGGCTTGGTGGGTAGCATTGTCTGGGGCTCCAATGGGAGGAAGGACACAGGAGCAGGTCTGGTCTGAGAGACTACCCCAGATGGGTTTAGTCTTTTCTGCTTTCCTACTGATGGTCCCTCGCAACGAGCTCCCACTGAACCAAGGAAGAAGAGAGGTTCCATACCAGGATGCCTCTTATGGAAATAAAGACCGTCAGGCCTCAAATTGAGGTATAAGCATGGAAATGGATCTTTGCCTGTCTGTCCCACTTCTATCAGCTCTGCCTCCAAGGTCTGCCATCCCCTCCCCTCTCAGCAGGGCTGCCTCATGCCTCTCTGTCTCTCCAGCCAGCCCTCTGCTTACCCTTGACCCAAAGCCCCAGCTTGCACATGATGCTTGCAGGCACCTGACCAAAATACTAAGAACCTCCAGGTCTAGAACTAACAGCTCACAGACCATTTATTTTCTCAGTGTCTCTTCTTGAGCATGAATTTATACCTCACATTCTTGAGCATGAATATAATTGGTTGGCCGTGGATCAGGTGGTGGCTCCAGGTCCAATCCAGTCAGGGGAGAGGTAGGGCCTCTTGAGACATGGAGACTGGAGGCCGCTTCAGACTGCCAAGGGGCCTGTGCCCGAGTGCCCTGAGTATCAGTTGTCACCCTCATCCATAGACCAGAGAAAGGGTGAAGTTGGTATTGTCCTTTCCACCCCCTGTAACCCCTCCAGAGCCTGGCTGGCTCCAGGGCCTCCTGAAGCTCCTCCATAGACAAGCCACTTAATACCCCTCCCCCTAACTCACCTTTGATGGCATAATGATTTTTGTTCTTACATCCCACCCTTTCTACATGGTTAAGATGGTAACTTTTATGTTTATCTATATTTCATCCCAATATTTAAACTTCCACAGCTTTCTGATGTTTGAGTTCTTCTAAATCAATCATTATCAAAGTTGTGGTTTCCAGCTCAGCAGTATCAGCATCAGCATCAACTGGGAAATGTTAGAAAAGAATATTCTTGGGCCCCACCTCAGACCTACCTGACCAGAAACTCTGAGTGTGGCCTCAGCATTTTGTGTTTTACCCAAAGGTGATTTTGATTCCCGCTGATGTTTGAGAACCACGTTTTCAGTCCTAAGCAGGTAGAAATCACTTCTGACATCCTTAAGTCCTTTGCTGATGGTAGGCAAACGAATGAGGAAAGCTGTTGCTTCCAGACATGCACGTTCTCCGTGGGGCTTCACACAGAGTTAATTAAACTTCTTCTCTTACAGCCATAAATAAAGACCCAGGGCTCATCATTGGGCTTGATATTAATGCATTCCTGAGTTGTTCATCAAGTTCTAAGACAAGGTAATGTCAGCGTGTCAGCTGAGCTATTAATAACTGATATTTGTAGAATTTCTTTCACTTGTGTAATCTCCTAAGACTGCTGTCATCACCTCTTGGGCCAGTGAGTTTCTTTGGCCATTCAGTGGACGCAAGAGGAAGGCTCAGAGGGAAAACAGGGAGAACTTGTCTCTCACCGAGCCTTACTCTGGGAGGCTTGTGTTTATGTGCATGTATGGACAGCTGAGGCTTGTGTTTATGTGCATTTATGTACAGCTCAGGCTTATGTTTAGGCCATATGTGTATAGTTGAGGCTTATCTTTCTGTGCAAGTCTGTACAGCTGAGGTGTGTGTTTATACCATGTAAGTACAACTGAGGCTTGTGTTTATGTGCATGTATGGACAGCTGAGGCTTGTGTTTATGTGCATTTATGTACAGCTCAGGCTTATGTTTAGGCCATATGTGTATAGTTGAGGCTTATCTTTCTGTGCAAGTCTGTACAGCTGAGGTGTGTGTTTATACCATGTAAGTACAACTGAGGCTTGTGTTTATGTGCATGTATGGACAGCTGTGGCTTATGTTTATGCTCAAGTATGTACAGCTGAGGCTTTTGTTATATACATGCACATACAGCTGAGGCTTTGTTTATGTACATGTATGTACAGCTGAGGCTTGTGTTATGTGCATGCATTTACAGCTGAGATTCTGTTTATACACGTGTGTACACCTGAAGCTTGTGTGTATGCACATGTATGACAATGGCTGGAGACAATCATGTGGCTTCCAGACATTTGGCTAGAGTTCTCCTTGTCACCCACCTCTGACATTTCATAAACTTCAATGCCAACACCTCTTTGTACCTTTCCTCTTCCAGTACTCGGCTGTCCTGAGCCATAACCTCCTTTTATTGTCATCCTCTCAACTCACTCCAAATCAACAGGCCCTGCACAGTGGCTGTCCATCAGGGTTTGTCTGGCAGTGCAAACAGTGCAATGGACAGACAGGTCAGAACTGCTCCCCAGCCACAGTTAGAGTCAGCCGAGAAGTGCCAGGCTATGCCTTAGGGAGAGAAAACTCAAGAGGCCATAATAAGATGAGTTCCTTAAGAGGCCAATGACTTCAAAATCACAGTCAAAAATTACAAAACACAGGTGACACCAGCTCTGAGGTTTTCTCTCTAATGTCTGACCTAGTGGTACTTCACCTGAAGGGAAGGTCCAACCTTGGCTCACATTAAGCTGACAGTCAGGGCCCTTCTCAGGTGGACGTGGATAGAGAACCTGCTGGAGTAGGTGCAGGTGGAGAGAGTTCAGCGAAGACCAACATAGTTTTCTTCCTCAAGAATTTTAGACCTCACAGGTGAGACAGAGAGGCCCACAAAGCATCATCACAGAGTGCAGCAGGAAACACAAAGCACTGTGCCCCAGCCAAGGGAGAAAAGAGCATTATCTGGGCTGCTCTGAGGCAGATTGGCTGAAGGAGGAGTAGGTGGGAGCACTGGGCATAGAGCCTGAGGCTCCTTTGTGTGTTGAATCTCTTCCCAAGTTAGGCAAATCCAGGCCTCCCGGCTCCAAGAACTGTGCGGCAAGTTCCATTTTATCCCGGAACGGCTTATTTATTTCTTCAGATTTCTTTTCATCCAGCCAGGAGGACAGGAGAGGGTTAGGTGAGTTGAGTCAGAGTGAGGTTAAGAGCAGCTGAGGCTTGTGTTTATGCCATGTGTGTACAGCCTTGGCTTGTGTTTATGTGCTTGTATGTACAGCTGAGGCTTATGTTTATGTGCATGTATGTACAGCTGAGGCTTATGTTTATGTGCATGTATGGACAGCTGAGGCTTGTGTTTATGTGCATGTATGGACAGCTGAGGCTTGTGTTTATGCCATGTGTGTACAGCCTTGGCTTGTGTTTATGTGCGTGTATGTACAGCTGAGGCTTATGTTTATGTGCATGTATGGACAGCTGAGGCTGTGTTTATGTGCATGTATGGACAGCTGAGGCTTGTGTTTATGTGCATTTATGTACAGCTCAGGCTTATGTTTAGGCCATATGTGTATAGTTGAGGCTTATCTTTCTGTGCAAGTCTGTACAGCTGAGGTGTGTGTTTATACCATGTAAGTACAACTGAGGCTTGTGTTTATGTGCATGTATGGACAGCTGTGGCTTATGTTTATGCTCAAGTATGTACAGCTGAGGCTTTTGTTATATACATGCACATACAGCTGAGGCTTTGTTTATGTACATGTATGTACAGCTGAGGCTTGTGTTATGTGCATGCATTTACAGCTGAGATTCTGTTTATACACGTGTGTACACCTGAAGCTTGTGTGTATGCACATGTATGTATAGTGAAGGCTTGTTTTTATGTGCATGTATGTACAACTGAGGCTTGTGTGTATGTGCACATATGTACAACTGAGGCTGAGCACCAAGCAGTCATCACCTGCATCCCAATTGTGCTTCAGAGTCATGCATAAGTTTTGGATAGTCCACAGCTCTAGATGATCAATTCCTCTCACCACAGTTCGAGCAAATATGGAGAGTTGATGCTGAGTAAAACAGGAGGTGCTTCTGTCTGGAAGGTCCCTCTTGTGGGGCCACATTGAGCCCAGGCTTCACTCCTTGTGAGGCTGGCCCCTCTGCAGTGTCCCTGTCACTTCTACCGTCTCTGCACTCTGAGCATCATCTCCTCTCCTCACCATGGCCCTCGGACAGGGAGGTGCCCTTGTCCTCCTTGTTCCCATCTTCAGACCACCACACCCAGTTCTGCCAACTCCTCTTCATGGTGGCCATCTGCTGGGTGCAACTTGCAGCATGCTGTGGGCTGCTGCAGGGCATGACTGGTTTATTATGAAATCAGTTTTACAGATTGGAAACCAAAACTACATAAATAAATCAAAGGAAGAAGAGAGAGGAAGATGGAGAGAAACAGACTAGAATAAAATAGAAATATCAGGCTATGTTCCGACATTACATTCTATATAAGGATAGCAGTTTTATGTGATATTTTATTTTAGGTATGTACAGATGCTCCTCAACTTACGAAGGTGTTTTGTCCCGATAACCCCGTAAGTCGAAAATGCACTTAATACACCTAACCTACTGAACATCATCACTTAGCTAGCCTGCCTTAAATGTGCTCAGAACACTTAACATTACCGTAGCCTTGCACAAGATCATCTAACACAAAACTTGTTTTATAATAATGTGTTGAATATCTTATGCAATTTACTGACTAATGTACTGAAAGCAAAAAACAAAGCAGTTGTATGGGTACTTGAAGTACATATGGTTTCTACTGAATGCACATTGCTTTTGCACCATTGTAAAGTCAAAAAAATTTAAGTTGAAACATTGTAATTTGGGGACCATCTGTACACATACAGATATATACACACACACATATATACACACATGTACACATGCACATAAACACCTACACACACACATGGTGGTATAGTCGTTATAGTGGTGGACTCTGTGCTCCACCACCTGTAAGCCATGTGTTCAAGGAGACATTACTTGTAATCATCAGGAATCCAGGCTCCTATCTTGTTGCTTTGCCAGCCTTAACAGGGCTTCTTCCCCAGGACCCAGGAGAAATGCTTGAGCTCCTGCCATTATGCCTGAAATCCAGGCAGCGTGACAAAGAAAGTAGGCTCTAGCCAGGGTTGAAATTTAGTAGATTCACTTAAACAGTAGAGCTGTACCAGTAGTTCAATTGTTTAAATAATTCTGTACCAGCTGGTAAATATCTGCTGGCTCCCTGAGGCTGGAAGTTACTTATTCTCATAAGTCTGAGTTTCCTCCTTTGTATGATAAGGATAAATAATTGTAGTACCTATCTCATAAATTTGTTGTGAAAATTAGATGAGGTAATATACATACATTCTCATCACGGTGGCCAGCACAAAATTGAGGCCCAATAAATTGAAGTCATCATTATTATTAACTATGTTTTATAAACAACAAATTATAAGAAGAATGAAGTGTGACACCAGAACTGAAGACATAATTTAAGGGTTGTCACCTCTCCCAGGGTGATGGAGATGCAAAGGATTATTCAAAGCCCATTTCTCCAGAGCAGTGAGAGGCCCAAAAGGGTTAATCCCAGAAACAATTTCTTCAAGCCAGAAGAATTCTTAGGAGTAACCCTGAATTACCTTTTCTCCCAGTATTTATTGTCCAGGCAAGAAAGTCACAGAAAAGGAACATAGGTGGTTACAAAAAGACCAATGAGATATTCATCATGGCAACACTCACTTCCCCAAGAAAGTCAAAGAAACAGCTAGAGGCGAGATGTGGAACATCCCCCAACTAACAACCTTGAAGTTTTTAGCTCACATACTTTCCCATCATTAGGTTTAGCTGCACCAAAGACGACTGCCCTTAGACCAAGCATTTTTGCTGTGTTACAATATTTTTATCTACAACAGAGACTTTAGTCCTGGGAAAGTTTTCTGTTTTTGCCAAGCTTAGCATTTCTATGTGCAATACTAAAAGGTTAGGCTATTCCTGAAACTACAGGGCTGTGGCCCCACTAAGCTATAAGTTAGGCCCTGTGAAATACATTTTCTTTATTAATGTTGGTATCCTCCACAAAGGGTGATCTAACACAGAGAACAGCAGTGGCATTGTTACTGTTTTTACTCATGCAAGAGCAAATAACTCACCTAAAAGTGGGTAATAATAATAATTTTCCCACCTACTAGTCAGTTCTTGCCCATAACTTTGTGGATATGCTTTCTGACTCAGTGTTTCTGGAATCCTTACTGATTAAATACATTGCCACTATTCATCAGTAGGGGACGTTTGTAACTCACAGAGTCATTCATTATTATGTCCCTTTCTGTCATTCCATTCCCACAGCACATCTTGTTCTCTTACCGACAGCCTTGCCCTTCAGACTGATCAGCAACAGGACCCTGAAGCACCGGTCGGCTCCTTATCTCCCGGCTCGGCCTACCAGAGAGTGTGGGAAACATTTGCTAACCAGTCCAGGGTGGAAAGAGATGCTTTCCTGCAGGATGTTTTCCCCGATGGCTTCCTGTGGGGTGTCTCCACAGCAGCCTTTAGCGTGGAAGGAGGCTGGGCCGAGGGAGGAAGAGGGGCGAGTGTCTGGGACCACTACGGGCACCTGCACACTGCCGAGAGCCAAGCGACGCCAGAGGTGGCCAGTGACAGTTACCACAAGTGGGCCTCTGACGTCGCCCTGCTTCGTGGCCTCCAGGCTCAGGTGTACAAGTTCTCCATTTCCTGGTCCCGGATCTTCCCCACCGGGTATGGGAGCAGCCCCAGCCTGCAAGGCGTCACCTACTACAACGAGCTGATCGACAGCCTGCTGGACGCACACATCCAGCCCATGGCCACACTGTTCCACTGGGACCTGCCTCAGGCCCTGCAGGATCATGGCGGGTGGCAGAACGAGAGTGTGGTGGACGCCTTTCTGGACTATGCGGCCTTCTGCTTCTCCACTTTTGGGGACCGCGTGAAGCTGTGGGTGACCTTCCACGAGCCATGGGTGATGAGCTATGCAGGCTATGGCACCGGCCAGCATGCACCAGGCATCTCTGACCCAGGGGTGGCCTCTTTTAAGGTACTTCTCATCCTGCAGCTCCTACTAATTGAGGAGGAAGGACATTTAGCTGGAATAAAGTCATTCGATCTGTCTCATTCCCATCAGCCAGTCTTTAGTTTTTGTTCTTCAAAGGGACTCAGAGGGAGGAAAGGAACCATAAATTGTTAATCACCTTATTTTGTCCAGACACTGTGCTGGTACCATAAAAATAGTTGTTCCATCCTCAGAACAGCACTGATGGATGTGGGAATTGGGGCTCAGGGAGACAAAAATGTGCTCATGGGGACATGGCCAGTGGGTTGCCAGTGGAAGCTAGGATTTGGGCCCAAGATGTATTCACCCCAAAACAAGCTCCCCATGTCACCTAAGACTCTTAGCGGCAAGTGAAAGAACACCAACCCAACTGACTTAAGGAAGGAGGGAATTTATGAGTTCAGGAAAATGCAAAGTCTTGGTTTTAGCTTCATCAGGGTGGAGCTTGATCAGATCACCCACGGTGTCACCAGGACCCAATGGTTCTCCTTCTCTAGGCTCCCTGGTAGCCACATGGCAGCAGCCCTGCTTTTGTAATTCAAGACCAGCAGGAGCAAAAGCTCGCCTCTGCCCTGGTGTTCGCAGCAAAAGTCTTCCTGTGTCTCCTGGTCTCTAAAGAGACACAACTCACACACGCCCATCTCTGGGTCTTGGCTAGGGGAATGTGGTGACTGGTTTGGGTCAAGGTCCCATGCTCTACCCCTCAACACACTGGCTGAGAGGTGAGGAGGTGGGGAGAGGGAGAGTGGGACTGGCTTTCCAGAGGACAGTCAGGGTATCTTTTCACCCAAAAGGAGATGTATATGCTGGAGATAAAATTTTAAATGGCTTAATATGGGTCCTCCCCATCATTTCCTCTTTCCTTCAGAATCTCCCAGAAAACCCACCAGCTTTCCCTGGTAGCGTTCTTGAGTACAGACATGTCTGGCTTTCCCTGGACACAACTTGGGTTTTCTTCTGAAATATGAGAACTTGAGAATTTCCCGTGCCTGTGCTAGGTGTGAAGGAGGGATGCACAGCTATGCTCTTGACGTGATATAACCTTTCGGGAGAGATGAGACTAACACACATAACAAAGTTAGAGAACAAGTCAGAATGTCCACTATTAGGGTTACGTGGAACACTGTGAATAAATGGCTCAATGAAAATGCCAAAAGTTATAGTACATGAGTCGAGGCTTCCGTTTTGCTCTTCCACTGCAAGCGACCACACACACGGAGAGACAACCTGTCTGAAAACGGAAGTTTGAAGTTTTCTGTTGTCCCCCTGTCGTAATACTCATCCAAAAGATTTTTTTCTTAGGCTTTTCTTATCTCTGGAACTGTGACTCCTTAGATATTTTTTACAGAGACTTTGATGAGAAGGTCACTTCACTTTTATCCTTTAATTCTTGTTTTTATTTGGAAGTTAAAGCATTAAAATACCATTGTCTTCATCAGCTCAGGCTGTTATAACAGAATACCATAGATTGGTGGCTTAAACAACGGACATTTATTTCTCACAGTTCTCAAGGCCAGAAGTTCAAGAGTCAGGTGCTAACGTGCTTGGGCTCTTTTCCTGGACTGCATTGTCCTGCTGTACCCTCACATGGTAAAGAGAGAGAGACAGAGAGACAGACACAGCGAGACAGAGAGAGCGAGCGCACGTGAGCTCTGGGATTTCTTCTTATAAGGACACTAATCTCATCATGAGGGCCCGACCGTCATCATCTCACCTAAACCTAATCACCTTCCAAAGGCCCAATCTCCAGATACCATCACATTGGGGGTTAGGGCTTCAACATACAAATTTTGGGGGACACGATTCAGCCCATAGCAACTATGAAGAGAAAGTTTCAGAGAAGAGATTTCTCTCGTTATTCTTCCAGTGTTTCCTTCCAGTCTTGACGTCTTTGCATTTATGGTGCTATCACAGTGCAACTCGGTTTAGTGCTCATTGTTCACTTGACATCATGTCATTGGCACTTTTCATGTTACTGTCTAAGACTCCATTGAGGAACCCTGCCTGACACTGACTAGTTTACAAGGGAAGCATTTCTGCCTTTTGGAAAGAAGGACGGTTTGCTGATGGAGTTCAGGAGCCAGTTAAGGACTAGTTTGTGGGACATGGGAAGCAGCCAGGAGTTTCCATTACTAGGTCATATTTTGACATGAAATTCTTCAAGCATAAGTGTCATCATCTTCAGATGATAACAAGGAAGGAAGGGAGCTAAGATTTAGGAAGCTCACTCCTGCACTCCACATTTCTACTTGGTGCTTTCTATACACTTATCTCATGTAATCCTCCCAGGTGGATCCATAATCACCAGCTTCTTGCAGACAAGGAAGCTGAAGATGAGAGAACAGATTGTCCAAGTTTACAGAGGAAGTTAGTGGCAGAGTCAAGGTTTGAATCTAAGCTTGTTATACTCCAGACTCCTACTTTAACCCCTATGTTTCCATGATGCTCCACCAAGGAAAGCTGTTGACTTTTATAAGACCATGGGTCAAGTCTACAAAGAGATTCCTAGCTGTGGTTTTTCCTCCTAGATTTTATTAAGTAGAAATAGAAACAGGTAGGCTAGAAAGAGTGGTCCTTTTCCTTGTGTGTTAATTTTAAACTAATCCCAGCCACCCCATAGACTGATCGGTCAACAAGCACGTATTAAGGACAGAGGCACAACAGCATTGTGAGTGATAATAACAGGCCTGGAGTCAGACTGCCTGTGTTCTCTGTTCTCA